GAAAAGGAAGTTGTGTGTGGGATTTGACCACAATCTGGTTGTGAACAGAGGGAGAAGAAAGCAAGGGAGCAGGGGACCGTCGCCCCTGAGAGAGGGGGAACCAATAGTTCTCCCATCTGACAGTGACACTAGTAGTGAGGAGGAGGGGAGCCTAGGGAAAAGGCAGAGAATGGAAGAGGAAGAACTCAAAGAGGTCATAGACCTCAGCTGTGAGGAAGAGGAGWRCGAAGTCRCRACGCCTACGAGAGAAGTAAGGGGAAGGGATGAGGACCCAGGCGACGAGAAGGACAAGTGGATAAGAGAATTTGAGCCGTCTTTAAGTGGCTGATTCGACCAATGGGCCAGTATCATGAGGAATGAATGGGCAATGAAAGGGAAGGAGAAACTAAGCAGAGGAGAGGACATAGCGCCAATAAAATTTTTCACAGAAGAGGAGCTCCTACAGATGCGAAGGACAAAGAGAAAGATGCAGCAGGAGATCGACAATCGTGTAAGGGAGGCTCGGCGCAGGGCAACTCGATAGTAAAGGGGTAGTAGACATAACAGAGAATAGTAAGAGAATGGGTAGAGCTGGAACCTGGGCAGGCAGAACTGCCATTTTGAGTCTTGCATTTGAACTTTCTGAGAATGAACTACAATGGGACAACTTTCTGCTTAGAATGACSAAAGACTGGGTAACTAGTGCTACTTTCCATAAGTAGTTGCTTCTTCAGAAGGACATGTGGGTCGATGAGCTTGGGACTAGGACTATGAAGCACTGGGTTGAAAGTAAAGGGAAAAAAGGGGAGGGCCTAGATGAGACAAGTCTGTAATATTGCTTCTACAATCGAAATTGTCTCCTTTTTTCTGGCCAAAACCGCGACAAAGTTGCTCTTTGAACTAAGGAAGTAACTAGGGACTAGGTAGCAAGTGCTACTCTGCATAACTACTTGCTCCTTTGGAAATACGGGGATCTTGGATGGTGAGACACGGACTGGGGATGGTTAACGTTGTTTTGGGAATGGGCAAGAGCGTGTGGATTGTTGAGATGAAAGAAAATTTTATGACAATAAGTTGTTCTTTTGAAAATRTGCAACCCTGGTTGAATGAGTTGTGATATGGGTTTCTGGGAGAGGTTAGGGGACCTATGGGTAAAGAGGTATGAAGAACCCTCTTCCCTGGGAGCCTAATCCAACCTAACCCGGAAAAGTCTAGAGCAGTAAAAGGCATGAGAGGTCAGAAAGAGGAAAACACTGGTTGAGCAAACAATCTCCGCAATGGTTGAACGACCGGGCGGGCTAGTGCTGCTTGGGGTTGTGAGCCTCAAATTGAGCACTAGACGCTAAGTCGGGTGTATGTATGGACATGAGAATGGTGAATGGCATGACACGAGAGGCAAAGACATGCGTAAAACACAAGA